TGTGTTGGTGGTGGCGGTGGGTTGTGGTGTGGTGGTGGCGGTGGTGGTGATGGCGGTGGTTTGGCGTGGTGGTTGTGGTGGTGGTGGTGGTTGTGGTGGGTTGCGGTGGCGCTGGTGTCGGTGGCGTTTTTGGTGGTGGTGGTGGTGTAATGGTTTGTGATGATGGGTTGTGGTGGTTGTGCGGTAGTGGTAGTGGTGGCGTTGGTGGTGGTGGTGGTGGTGGTGAGGTGGTTTGTGGTGGTCGTGGTGGTGGTGATGGCGTGGCTTTCGGTTTTCGTCAGAAGGGTCTCGGGGGCGTACGAGAAGCATGCGAGGGCTCGATATGGCGATGTGTGTGTTCCCTCTGCGGCCTCTGGGCCCTCGCTGGTCATCGTCGCTGCGTCCCCGCCGTCGGCGCTGCTGGCTGCCGCCAGCGCCGGCGCCGGCGCCGGCGCGGGGGGGGGTTTGAACCCCCCCCCAAGGGGAAGGGCGGGGGGATTCGGGAGGGGGGGGTCGGAGGGGAGGGGGGTCCCCCTGGTTCTGATCGACGGCGCCGAACGTTGGGGGGGGCCACCCACCAGTTCAAAACGCGCCGCCGAATGTTCCCAAAGCAAGCGCCCGTAAAACGCGCTCTCTCAAACCTTAGGACGCCGAGAACCATAGAGGCGTTCAAACTTAAAGGGCCGCCGAAAACAAAAAAGACGCAAAAAACCACAAGAACACCAAACACCAAAAGGACCCCGAAAACTAACGATGCCCCAAGAACCCACACATTGCGGAAAACCAAAGCGACGACGTCCAAAAATGCGCCGAATATACCAGAACGGCCCCGAAGTCCACATGGACTGCCCTGTCCCTTAGATGATCCCTGCCGGAAGCCCCCCCCGCTTCCCTACCTGCTCGACTAAAGGAGGAGAATGGCTCGGAAGGCCCTCCCCCCGCATGAAGCTGAAGGAAAGCTCCGAAAACCAAAAGACTGCCGACAACCACAGGGCGACGAAAACCAAAGACGCACCGAAATCCAAAAGAGCGCACAGCAACAACAAGAACACCCGAACACCAAGGAGTCGTCGAAATCACAAAAGGTGCCGAATGCGAACAAAACGCCGAAAAGCAAAAGAGATCAAAAAATCAAAGGGAACCGAACACCAAAGGGACGCCGAAACCCCAGAAATCGCCAAAACCCAAAATGGCGACGACAACCAAAAAGGCGCTGAAAACAAACCGCACGCCGAACACCAAACGAGCGCCAAAAGAAAAGGAGCAAAGCAACACAACCGGCGGCGAAACCAACCGAACTCCGAAAACCAAAGAGCCGACGAAAACCCAAAAGGGCACCGGAAACAGACGAGGAAACGCCGAAAACCCAGAGGAACGCCGAGTACAAAACGATCGTCGAAAAACTATCGCGGCGCCGAAAACCAAAGCGGCGCCAAAAAACAAGAACGCGCCGAAAACCAAGAGGCACCCAAAAGCAACGGATCGCCGAGCTCAGCTGCGCACAGAATGGGGGGGTAGCTTCCGAAGTCACCCCCCCTTGACAGGGAAGCCCGGGCTAACCCTGGGCTCCGGGAAATGAAGGAGGGAGGTAGCTTTGAAGCCTCCCCCTCAGTGGGAAGGCAATCTCAGCTGCGGCGAAAGGAAAGGGGCGGGGTGAGCTTCCGAAGCCTCCCCCACCCCTGAAAGGCAAGCCCGTGCTGGCCTTGGGCTCCAGACAAGGAAGGGGGGGGATAGCTTTGAAGCCCCCTCTCCCCCTTCGCAAATCAATCTCAGCGGGGGGGCTTCGGAAGAAAGGGAACCTCGGGCTAACCTTTGGTCCTGGAAAAGGGGGGGACGGATAGCTTCCAAGCCCCCCCAAATTTGGCTAGCGCCCCCCCAGCTAAAAAAATACCCACAAAGGGAGGGAGGGGTTTCTGGAAAGGGAGGGGGGGGGGTAGCTTGAAGCTGGAGCCCCACTTCTAGTGAGAAGTGCGCCACAAACGCGCTCTTTCATACATCAAGGGGGTCCGATATTCCCTTACCCAGATCTCCCGCCAGAGGTATTGACGGCACCTCTTCCGAGGCATTTCAACATCTCCAGCCCGGATGGCACATAGCATTCGCAATCGCACTGCCCACGCCGTGCTTACGGGCATCACCACGCCCAGGTGGCCTAAACCCGCTGGGAAAAGCCCCACAACCTCTGGGATAGCCCCCAGAGCCCCTTGGAGAGCCTCCGCAGCTCCTTGGAGAGCCCCTGGAGCCTTTCAGAGAAGCACCCTTGTGGGAAACTTGAAGGCCCATGCTTCAAAGCTGAGCTGGAGGGCTCCGGGCCTATTGCAGGAGGCCTTATGGAATTGTTGAAAAAAAGGTATGGGTCAGGGGAGCTTCTGGGTCTCGGGAATTGGAGGAAGAAGGGGAGGAAGCAGGATGAGGAGGAGGAGGATATGAAGGAGGAGGGAAGACAAGGGGGGAGGAGGAGGAGAAGAAGGAGGAGGAGGAGGAGGAGAAAGCAGGGGGAGGAAAAGGAAGAGGAGCAGGAAGAGGAAGAAGAGGAGGAAGAGGAAGAGGAGGACGATGCAACGACGACGACAACGAGGAGAAGGACCATGGGGAGGAGGGGGAGGAGACAGACGACGACGACGAGGACGACGACAACGACGGCGGTGACTACGACGACGGTGTCACCGCGGCGGGCTCCCGCGCGCCGAGGCGAGAGCGCCAGGGCGCCCCAGCGGGGGACAGCCGCGCACCCCCTGGGGTACCCCGAAACGCCTGAGCGTGAGCCTCAGGGCCTCTGGGAATCTTCAGCAAGAATGGAGCCTGTATCGAGCGGGATCGTCGTTTTTTGCAGGGGGGGGGCGTCTGCGACGCCGAGGCGGGTGAGCCGGTCGAGTGCAAAAAACAAAAAGTATCGAGCGGGAGCGCCGGGTTTGTTGGAAAGCCGGCTTTCGGCGGCGAGCAGGAGCCCCGGTCCCGAGTAGAAAAGGAGGAATTACCGAGCGGGAGCGCTGTTGTTGTTGGGGGGCCCGTTCCGGCGCGACCCCGAAACGCCTGAGCGTGAGCCTCTTTTGAGACGGGAGCCAGGAGCAGCGCATCATGGCTCGAAGCATGTGCTCGGACGAGGGGGGCCAGGGAACGCGGTGAAAGAAGAACCCCTCTTAGTTCCCATCGCATCTTCGACGCCTCGGGACCAGAAGGATGAGAAGAGCGACACTCAGCGGCTCGCCAGGAAATCCCGCTTCCGAGGAAGCTGGCGCCCCGGCCAGAAGGGGCACGAAGTCTACACCAAGTTGTCTGGTCGGCCAAGGAGCTCGGTGTATTGACGCCCTAGCTTTCCAAGCTGTGGGACGCTGGAGTGCCTATTCCTCCGCCTAGTCCCTTGACTCCGTGACCGTCTAAACGACAAGGTGCATGCATCGAGCCCCTCTGACCAGCTCTAAAGATACATCCGCGGTGGAACCAGGCCGCTCACCAGCTGGGGGGCTCCTGCCGAGCCAGCTCCACCCAAACGGCGTGTCCGCCCCCGCCGAGCCAGCTATGGCTCCGCCATCGGCGGTCCTGAGGAGAAGGGGAGCCCTAAACAGACCGAAGAAGAGGGGGTGATCTAGGCTTGATTTGTCGACTGTGACCCGCGTTGACGGGGTGGGTCGGAGGATCGCGCCGCATCACCGATGCTCTGGACCAGATCGCACCGCATCGCCGATGCATCGGCGATGCGGCGCTCCTCCGACTCCATCAACTCTTGCCCCTATTGGGAGGCCTGGAATCTGAGCGTTGTTGAGAATCAGCCGACCCTGTCGGCGTGTGGAAGACTCTCTTCCGTTAGTCACCGTCGTCGTCGTGTGGTCTCCGTCGTCGTCTGCATCTCCGTCGTCTCCTCGTCGTCTCCGTCAATCGTCGTCGACGTCGTCCCGCGTCTCCTTTCCCTGGGCCCTTCTCCTTGAGCGCGCCAGCCAAACTGACATTGAGCAACGTCGTGGCTGAGTCGAAAGAGAGCCCCTTCCCTTTGATGCCCTCTCCGCCAAGGGGAATGTCCGGGGGGTGTCCGGGGGGTGTCCGGGGGGGTCCCAGGGCGGGTCGCCCCCTAGATACGCACCCCTCCCGGGCGGTTCTGGGACCCAGAAAAGCCCCAAGACGCGGCAAGCGTGCCCCAAGAGTCCCCCAAGACTTGAGGGCCCCGAATGGCCGAATTATCTATCCAAAAATATCTCCAGACGTTTCAAAAAGTTTTCAAAATGCCCCAAGAGGCCTCCGAGAGCACTCCCAAGCCCCAAGAGGCCTCCCAGAGCACTCCCAAGAGGGCCCCCAGGGGAAAACACCAAGGATTTTCCTTTAGTGTTTGCAAGATTTTGGGGTTCTCGCCTTGTCGGCTTCCCGACGCCCCAAGAAAGCCCAAGAGGCCCCCAAGATAGCCCAAGCGGCCTCCAAGAGGGCCCCAAAACGACCCAAGAGGGCCCCAAGACCGCCCAGGAGGCCTCCAAGACAGCGCAGGAGAAGCCCCAGGAAGCCCCCAAGAGGCCCCGAGAGGCCTCCAAGAGATCCCCAGGAAGCCCGAAGAGGCCCCCACGAGGCTCCCAAGAGGCCCCCAAAAGGCTCCCAAGAGGCTCCAAAGCTACCTCCAAGAGGCCCCCGAGAGTCGTCGTCGTCGTCGTCGTCGTCGTGGTCGTCGTCGTTTCAGGGTCGTCGTCGTCGTCGTCGAAGGCGTCGTCGAAGGCGTCGTCGTGGTTGTGGTCGTCGTCGTCGTCGCCGCCGCCTTTGCTGGTGTCGTCGTCGTCGTCGTCGTCGTCGTCGTCGTCGTCGTCGTCGTCGTCGTCGTCCTCGTCGCTCAGGGTCGGCGGCACCGGCCGTGAGGCCTCTCCAATCTAAACTTGGTTTGTCATTTCCTTGAGGGTAACTGCATCAGGGAACGTCAACTGACCACCTCACCGATCCTGGCCGGGCCGATGGTCAGGTCAGGTGGTGACTTGACTTTCCCCAATCCCTCCCCTCGGTCCGGTCAAGGTTCCACGCCCCCCAGGGCCAAGCACTCCGGCGGCCAGCTAGCTGGCCGCGGTGGACAAGTCGCTGTCCGAGGCGGAGGGCTGCCGGGGCGCCCAGCTCGCCAACGGTGCCTCGGGCGCGGCATGACCGACCCTTTCCATGACGAACCCCTTCCGTGACGAGCCCCTCGCCCTCGAAATTCAAGTGCGGCCGCCTGGCCGCGCCTTGCAGCGAGGCGCAGGGGTCGATCCTAAAACCCGAGCCTTCAAGATTCCGAGCTGGATTTCTTGGATCGGCGATGGACCCCTCTCTTCTGGCGCGCAGAGCGCGCCAGGCCAGGGGGGTCGAGAGCAGATCAAAAAAAAGGCTCGGACCTTCGAAACTGTGGTTTGTAACATGAGAAGCGATAAAACCCCGCCACACGGCGTGGCACCACCAGCCCTGTAGGACTTGAGTGGATCCAACCCTCCTTTTTCCCGTCGGGGAAGGGTTCACCCCTCCCCCCAACCCCACCCCGAGACCTGGAGGGGGGGGGGCGACCCATTGGAGCGTCCACGATGGCCTCGGCGAGAAGACACAAATCATTGATTTCCGTTGGGCTGTGGGCCAAGTGTGGCCTCCCGGGGGGGGCGACGCTACGTGAAACCCTCCGATGGAACTCCTCCAGGGGACGAGCATCGATGCAATCTCACCAAGCACTGGGGGAGGTCTCAATGGTTCATCGAGGCTATGCTCACTCGCTACCCTCATGCTGGGATCACGGATTGGGGCAGGCCGCCCCGGAGTGCCGCGTCGTCGGCGTCGGGCAGCCCGAGCTCGGCGGCTCGGCCGGCGCACCTCCGGGCCACGGCGCCCGAGAGCTCCGAGGCGTGCTCCCTCCTCGGCCGTGCCGCGGCCCGGTCCCGAAAGAGCTCGGCCAGAACGTCGTCGACATGCGGGTCCACGATCAGGAAGTCCCACGCCACCCTCCTGGCAGGGTGAGGGAGGAGAGAGAATGCCAAGACGGAGGCGGGATGGGGACCAATTCCACCAGCCCTCTGGGCGGAGGTTGCCTAATGCGCTCCCTCTTGTGACCCAAGATGGCTCCATGATGGCATGAAGTAGCCCAAGACGACCTCCAGGATGGCAGACGATAATAGAAGACGCGTCCAATGGCATCCACGAAGCCTCCAAGAGGACTCCAAAGCCCCCAAGATATCCGCCGACCCCCTGGGTCATCGGCGTGTGAGATGCTTCCCCCTCCCCAAACCCCTCCCCGGGGAACCCGGTCCGGTCGATTTGGAGGGGGGGGGGGGGGCCCACCACGAGCGACTCACGACGCTCTTCCGGGCCCAAAAAGGCCCAAATACGGGCCAAAAAGGCCCCAAGAGGCCTCCCAGACGTTCCAAGAGGCCCCCAGACGCCCCAAGAGACCGCCTAGACGCCCTAAGAAGCGCCCAAGAGGCCCCAAGAGGCTTCCAAGACGCCCCACGAGGGCTCCAAGACGCCCGAAGAGACCTCCAAGACGCCCCAAGAGACCTCCAAGAGGCCCCCGAGGAGCGCCCCAAGAGGCCAAAACCGCTGATTTTCATGAGTTTGTTTTTCGATGTTTTCGTCATTTTCGCCTTTTCGGCCTTCCGACGCTCCAAGACAGCCCAAAAAACTCCCAAGACTGCTCCAAGACGGCACAAGAGGCCTCCTCGACGCCCCCAAGACGGCCCAAGAGAGCCCCCAGACGGCCCAAGAGCCGCCCAAGGCGGCCCAAGAAAGCCCCCAGACGGCCCAAGAGCCGCCCAAGACGGCCCAATAACCTCCCGGAGACGGGCCCAAGAGGGGCTCCAGAGAGAGACCACGCACCGGAAAACCCAGCCTTACGTCCCAAAAAGCCCCCAGGAGGCCCCCAGAGGCCCCAAAGAGGCCCCAAGAACCCCCCAAGAGGCCCCCAAGACGTTCCAAGAGGCGCCCAAGAAGCCACAAAACGGTCCCAAAACGGCCCCCAAGAGCCTTCGAAACTGCTCCAAGAGGCCCGCAAGAAGCCCCCCCGCAAGATCCCAACGGACATCCCTGAACACACCGGTTTTTCGAGTCGCGCCCAGCCCCATAACCCGCAGCCTCATCTCAGTGTCCCCGTCCTCCTCCTCTTCCTCCTCCTCCTCCTCCTACACTTCCTCCTCGTTCCCCTCCTCCTCTTCCTGCCCCGCTTCAGCTCATCCTCACCGATGCTTCCCCCCCCCATTTTCCGCCTCACCCCCCATCCTCCTCTTCCCGTCCTCCCTTTCTGCCCAGTACGCGCAACCGATTGGGCATCATTTGCACGTCTTGCACTTTAGGGTGCCCTTCTTTGCGTCGCGCGGGACATTGCGAGGGTCGGGGAACGCCGACTTTGGTAGTCCTCTCTTGCACGCGCCGCTGCACTGATAAGCCTGGCAACTGCGCGCTGTGAACCCGAGTTCCTCGCAGCTTCTGCACACCAGTTTAGCTCCTTTCGCCGCTCGATGATGTTCCACTTGCTTCTGCTTCAAATGTTTCGTGTCCGAGAACGCGCCTTTGCACGCCGCGCACGTCAGCGGCTTCGCGTCCGCCTCTGCTTTCCGCTTGCGATTCTCTGCATCCGCCTTCTCGTTCCGCCCACCCTTCTCGTTGCGGGCGCACGCCCTGCAAAGCCTCTCCCCCGCATCTTTCGAGTCGTACTGGTTCGCCGCCACTTCCGCCTCCGTCTTCAAGAAATTCTTGCACTTCGCGCACCGAATCTGGACTTTCTCCTGAATCTGAGAGGCCTCTGAACCACAACTCAGGCACGGTGGCGGGATGGGCCGACTACTGGGAGGAGGAGCAAAGACGACGACGATAGGAATGCGGGGGATAAAGTCGGGCCATGACGCCCCCAAGACGTCCAAGATTGCCTCCCCCCCCCAAAAAAAAACAAGGGGTCGGCGGTGTGGCGCAAGCCTAAAGAATATCCAAGTGGCCACTGAACTTCCAAAGACGCCCACAAGAGGGCTAAATCCGTCCACAACATATCCAGGAAAACCTCTGACGTTTGCATTCTCGACCTCTTGCTTCCGATGGGCCTTTTGAAGCCTCACGATTGCTCCAGGATGGCTCCGAGGTGAGCCCCGAGAAGGGTCCATCAGAGCTCCCAGACGGCCCCAAGAGCACCCAACAACGCCCCAAGAAGGCCTCAACAGGCGTTCTTTCGGGCTTCAGAAAGGGGCGACGCTGATCCGTGCCGCCCCATTCAAAGGCAATCAACTACCGTCTGGGCTTTGAAAGGGGGCGTTGGGGCCAAAAAGGATCCGATATGAGTTCAGGAAAATATCAGCACGGCCTCCGAAACACCGCAAGATGGTCCGAGATGGCTCAAGATGTCCTCCAGCATGCCTTCAAAAGGCCACAGGACCACCACCCCAAGACGGCTCCGAGCGGCCACGGAACGTCCCAAGGGGACTCTTTAGGAGGCCTAAAGCATTCAAGAGCAATAAGGACACAACTGGTTGTGGCTTTCTCGCCCTTTCGTTTCCGAAGGGTTTCCGCGGCCCGAAAACGCCCCATGAGGGTCCGAAGATACGACCGTTCGGGCTCAGGAGGGGCGACGCAAATTTCGCATCCCGCTTGTTGCCCGATGGCCTCCAAGATGGCCCGAAGAATGCCCGAGGGGCCGCAAAAGGGCCCCAAAGGTTCCAACACAGATCCCGAGACGGTTCTCACAATAGCTGCAAGAAAACTCCAAGAGGATCCCGGGGCGACGAATCCCCCAAAAGCCGCCATGGTTGTGTCGTCGTCGTGGCTGTCGACTCATCTCTCTCTCTCTCTCTCTCTCTCTCTCTCTCTCTCTCTCTCTCTCTCTCTCTCTCTCTCTCTCTCTCTTCTCTCTCTCTCTCTCTCTCTCTCTCTCTCTCTCTCTCTCTCTCTCTCTCTCTCTCTCTCTCTCTCTCTCTCTCTCTCTCTCTCTCTCTCTCTCTCTCTCTCTCTCTCTCTCTCTCTCTCTCTCTCTCTCTCTCCTCTCTCTCTCTCTCTCTCTCTCTCTCTCTCTCTCTCTCTCTCTCTCTCTCTCTCTCTCTCTCTCTCTCTCTCTCTCTCTCTCTCTCTCTCTCTCTCTCTCTCTCTCTCTCTCTCTCTCTCTCTCCTCCTCCTCTCCCTTCCACCTCCTCCTCCTCCTCTTCCTCCTCTTCGGTTTGCTCCAGTTTCTGCCCGAGGGCCTGGGGGCGGACAGGCCGCCGCGGGCCCCCCTCGGGCGGGGGCCATCGCGCTGCCCGCGGAGGCGGCGTGGCACAGGCGCGAGCGCCGCGCGCGCGCAGCTGCGCGCGCCCTACTTCACGCGCGGCGGGGCACGCCTTCCCCCCGCCAGCGCGCCAGGCTGGAGGCCGCCGCGGCGCTGCTGGACGGGCACCACGGCTCGGCGGTGCCCCGCGGCGGCGGCACAGGGGCCGACGACGACGCCATGGCGTAGGGTGGCGGCGGCAGCGGCAGCGGGCGCGCCCAGGCCTGCGCGCACTGCGGGTGCCGCAAGAAAGAGCACTGGTGGACATGGTGCTGCCACTGCCAGCGGCCGCTCCAGCTGGTGCCAGCTGGCGATGCTGCTCGCGGTGGCGCTGGCAGCCGCCGCCCCTCCGCCAGCCGCGGAAGCGCTGCTCGCGCCCCCCCTTGGCGCCAGGGTGCAGCGGGGTCGCGCCGTGACGGAGGGCCCCCCGACGGCGGAGCCCGCGGCGCTGGAGGACGCCCACGCAGCACCAGCCGAGGGGTGCGCATCGTGGCCGACGCGGATCAAGCTCTGGCGCCCGACGCCGACCCTGAGGAGGCCAATCTAGCACAGCTGGTGGAGCTGCTCCGCCTCTCAGGCGACGAGCCCGCCGTCGCCAAGTATAAGCGCCAGCTGGACATCCTCCGCGCCCAGCGCTTGGCCAGGCCCCTCACTGTGGCGGAGGCTGGCGCTGCGCGGGACGCTGCTGCCGACGCCCTGGGCGACGCGCTGGCGGAGGCGGATGCACTCCAGCAGCGGCTCGACCAAGCCACGGAGAGGGTCGCCAAGTGCACCACCGCCCTGGACAGCGCGCAGGCGATCTACACCAGTGCGGTGCAGGCTCTGGCGGTGTCGGTGGCGCCAGCGGGCACTGAGGGCAGGCCGGGCCAATCCGCTTCGACGGTGCCCAAGCTCAGCGTCTCAGCACTGCTGGCGGGCAAGGCGGCGTGGGAGCTGGACGACGAGGGTCTCTTCGGCCTGGAGGCCCTGGAGGACTACGAGGTGGAGGAGAGCGATCGGCAGGAGGCGCAGCGGCGGCTCGAGGAGCTCCAGGCGCGCTTCGCAGCCATGGCTCAAGACGCCTTCGGCCAGTTCAAGACGGAGGCGGAGGCACTGGAGAAGGCTCACCGCGAGCTACGCGCCCGACTCAAGAAGAAGCGGCGCACCACGACCTCCCCGCCGCCTCAGCCGCCGCAGGAGGCTTCGGGTGCACCAGGTCCTGCAGGTGGTGATCGGCCGCCTGCAGAGCCAGCCGCAGCGCCTCCCGCTGGCGGCTCGCAGGCTGCCGCCCCGTCGACGCCGCCGCCCCCTTCGCCAGCCGCCCCTGCTGCTGCTGCGGGAGCGGGCGCCCCGGGCGCGGTGGCTGCTGCTGTGGACGCCCTGGAGGCAGGCCGCCAGCGCCTCGCTGTCAGCAAGGCAGCTGCGAGCGGCAAGGGTCGAGCTGCCAAAGGAGGCCGCAGCTTTCCCAGCGGAGGCACTGGCAAGGAGGCGGCCACCCCTGCGGGCGCTGATAAGGATCAGTCGGGGCTTTGACGCAGGCCCACTGCCTGACGGAGCACTCAGGCACGACATCTTCGAGGAGGCCCCCGAGTCCACGCCTGCTGCCCAGCGGCAGCGGCGCACTCGGCGCGGCCGCCTGCGAGGCCAAGGCGCGGCGAGGACACGCATTCAATGGGTTTCGAGCAGGGGGTACTCGTTCGGGGAGTACGTGCTCAAGGATGCGGGCCCAGCTGGCCGCGAGGGCCTCGCG